CATTGTCCAGTGGACAGAGAAGGAGATGTGTGAGAATGAGTGTCACTGCGTGAGAAACTAAACTAGTTAAAAAGTCAGTTGGGTCAAATTCTGTCCTCCATGTGTCCAGCTCGAGAGACCAGTGAGGCTCATGGTCAGTGACACGGTTCTAATCTGTTCACCAAGTGCATTCCAAGCTCTGTGCTGGCCAGAAAAACCCAGGCACATCTGCTGGGCTTCACCGGGGCTTCAGCAGAGACTCTACTTTCCTCAGGATGAGATTCTGCTGACCAAGTCAGTCACCTCCGTCAACACAAGGATGGTGTATGTTTCATTCATGGGACAAGGTTTGTTATCATTTTAAATTCACAGCAGAATCCAGAACTCTCTGTATTCATGTTTATTGACCTGTGTGTACAAGGTACCACATTATAACTCTCCATACCCGCACGTGGTGTCCCCTGACAAACGCAGCTCCTCCGGCCTCCACCTCCTCTCCTCACTCCTTCAACAACCTCATCAGGTTCCATTTTCTATTTGTATTCATGCGTATCAAGTATTTGGACCCAACTTAATATCCACTTCCTGCCTTACTTGCTCTGTTCTTCTGAGTGGACACATCCTAAACTAGAATGATTGGGAGATGACTGGGAGGAAGAAGAGGGTCGCCTATGTTCAAGATTAAATAATATGAAAATATGTTGTGTCTGTGCATGAAGATGGCATAAGGCACCTCACAAACGCCATAGAAAAATAGAGGGATAAGGAGAACGAGGAAAGAATAACAGACGGGATTAATCCACCTACAGTGTAATACATGCCCTGTGAGCTCCTATGCTGAAACTCCTTTACATCATGATTAACCAGCGAGGAAAATGGAGGCAGGGCCTGGCTGTGTTGTGGACATCACTGGAGAGGTGGATCCTAAATCTAGACAGCAATTCTTAACCACCGTTGGACAGAGACGAACCGCCAACACTCAGGCAGCCGGCCTTTGACCCTGCCTGCTGTTCCTGAGGTCCTGTGCTTCCTGTGCGCTGAGCTCTCTGTTCGTGACTGTCCTGTGCTTCCTGTGCGCTGAGCTCTCTGCTCCTGACTGTCCTGTGTTTCCTGTGTGCTGAGCTCCCTGCTCCTGACTGTCCTGTGCTACCTGTGTGCTGAGCTCTCTGTTCCTGAGGTCCTGTGCTTCCTGTGTGCTGAGCTCTCTGTTCCTGAGGTCCTGTGCTTCCTGTGTGCTGAGCTCCCTGCTCCTGACTGTCCTGTGCTACCTGTGTGCTGAGCTCTCTGTTCCTGAGGTCCTGTGCTTCCTGTGTCTGAGCTCTCTGTTTTTGAGGTCCTGTGCTTCCTGTGCGCTGAACTCTCTGTTCCTGACTGTCCTGTACTTCCTGTGTGCTGAGCTCTCTGTCCCTGACTGTCCTGTGCTTCCTGTGTGGTGAGCTCTCTGCTCCTGACTGTCCTGTGCTTCCTGTGTGCTGAGCTCTCTGCTCCTGACTGTCCTGTGCTTCCTGTGTGCTGAGCTCTCTGCTCCTGACTGTCCTGTGCTTCCTGTGTGCTGAGCTCTCTGTTCCTGAGGTCCTGTGCTTCCTGTGTGCTGAGCTCTCTGTTCGTGAGGTCCTGTGCTTCCTGTGTGCTGAGCTCTCTGTTCCTGAGGTCCTGTGCTTCCTGTGTGCTGATCTCTCTGCTCCTGACTGTCCTGTGTTTCCTGTGTGCTGAGCTCTCTGCTCCTGACTGTCCTGTGTTTCCTGTGTGCTGAGCTCTCTGCTCCTGACTGTCCTGTGCCTCCTGTGTGCTGAGCTCTCTTTTCGTGAGGTCCTGTGCTTCCTGTATGCTGAGCTCTCTGCTCCTGAGGGTCCTGTGCTTCCTGTGTTCCGTGCTCTCTTCTCCTGAGCACCCGTGCAGGACGTTTGTGTCTGGGCTACCACTGAAGTTCCCTCACAGTGTCTCTGGTACAGTAATACACAGCCGTGTCCTCCACTTTCAGGCTGTTCATTTGCAGGAAAGTCATGCTTTTGGAATCATCTCTGGAGATAGTGAACCGGCCTTTCACAGATGCAGCATATTCTGTTGTGTGACCATTAGCTTTGTTTCTAATAAAACCAACCCACTCCAGCCCCTTTCCTGGGGACTGGCGGATCCAGCTCATGTAGTAATCACTGAAGGTGAATCCAGAGGCTGTACAGAGAGTCTCAGGGACCCCCCAGGCTGCACCAAGCCTCCGCCAGACTCCACCAGCTGCACCTCACACTGGGCACACCTGCAAACACAGAGAATCCTGGTCAGCAATGGTCACACACATCCACGGTTCCTCCCACTCATGTCCATTTGCACACTCAGTATCCCTTGCTCCCCATAAATCACCTTTCAACAGAGCAACAAGGAGAACCCAGCGCAGCCCCAGCTCCATGGTGGTGGTCTGTGCTCAGTCACTGGTGGAATCAGCTCACAGAGCTCAGGTCAGGGCTGGGCTGGTTTTCATGGGCAAAGAGACGTCCTATTTGCATGTCCTCTGTTATAAAGCAGTTCTGGGGCAGAAGTCTCAGGAGGGCAGCGCACAGAGGAGATGCAGGTGGAAGACAGAGTTTGTTAGATGAGTGGATAAACTGTGAAATATCTCTAATCAATTGGCTTCAACATTAAACACTAAGTGAATATGAACTTCTTTAAAGAAGTTTAACTCTCCTTCAGCTAGTCAAGTTTGTGAGCCATTTGATTTTTAAAGATTATATTTCCTTTTTCCTTTCGAATTCTTTCTTACTGTGTTTGTATTTGGGAGGGTGATGGGTACATATGAAACTTAGAACAAGGATGAACAAATACAACAGTGATACTCACCAGACAGTGTGTGCAAAATGAACTGGGCCTGAACTCACCAGACACTATGTGCAAAATGAACTGGGCCTGAACTCTGGACCTGCACACTGTCCCTCAGCTCTTCAGCTCAAGGCCAGTGCTAAACCACTTGAGCCACAGTGCCACTTCTGGCTTTTTCTGATTTTGTGGTGCTGAGTAATTGAACACAGGGCCTCAGGAACGTGAGGTAAGCACTATACCACTGAGCCACCTTCCCAGCCCCAAAATGGAAATCTTATGAATGGGGACAGGAGGGAAGGATTGGAAGAGGGACAGAGAGGAAGAATGGTTCATAAAGAACTGCACTGATGGTACCTGATTCACATAACTGTAACCGCTCTGTACATCAGCTACACAAAAAAGTTTTTAAAAATTAAATAAAAATAAAACATATTGATCTTTAAGTGGCTCTATAAAGGTGGTGCCATTCAGTGAGGCAGTTTATGAACACACTGAGCCTTGATCAACGTTGCCCCTTTCACCATTCTTGCCCACCCCTCCACCACCTCTTCCTTCTCTCTGCTTAATGTTCAGGACATGTATGCTGACATCATTGAACAAAGCAGTTTGTGGACACAAGGCATGTGGATCTGTGTCATTCCTTTCTCACCTTTCCCCTTTGTCCCACCCTTAGCTCGGTGTTCTCAATTCTGTGGCCTATGTACTGTATTCTTGCCTGCGTTCTCCACATTGTCTCCTTCATTCTTCTACCATTTGCCCCTCATCTCTCCACTCCCAGTACCCTCTTTCTGGTGCTTACTTTGTTGGTCTTTGACTTAGTCTTTGTGAAGAGCTGTACTCTTTGATCTCTCCATAGGGTCTATTGTATGTGTCTCCCAGTGAGACATATAACAACAGCAGGAGAGGACCATTAGCATCGTTGTTCTGGGAAGCAGGGATGACCTGAGCTCTCTGCTCTT